TTCATCACTTTCCGATCTTTGCTTCATTTTTATAAAGGGGTTCTTTTAAAACACAGTAATACAGAATGAATTAATTCACTAAAGGCTATTGATTATACAAACATTTAATTGTATATACTTCACAATGAATATTATATAATAACAGTTTGGGGTGTTATTTACAATGGCCCTTATAGCCTTATTTCAAAGTCTTGAAATTTTGTCTGACATGTTCCTGTTATTAAATTCCTCTAAATGGTGTGTTATTATGAATATGAACATGGTGCAATTGCCAGATTAGATATAAAGTTTATTAAACTACTAGAATTAAAAGTTTATTATCACAAAAAAGCCTTTAAAAGTGAATCTAAAATCTGGATGAAGAAGTAGCTTACAGCTGAGCCTGATATAGTTATTGTATATAAAGACAAATAAAAAAACAGGAATATGAAAATCACCTATGCAGAGATAAATATCTAATTTAAAGGTTAAATTCCCCCTCAGACCAAGCAAAATCTCTTTACAGTAACAGAATTAATTATGACTTTCCAAACTTCTAAACTATGCAAAGACTGTAAACAGCGTTTCATAACGTAGAATCACTAATCACAGAAGCTACTTCAGTCTCCAGTCATGCAGATGAAAACTTGTATGTGATCAAAAAATTGACAAAGGCCCGAGATTTAAATCATAACAATGATTTAAATCAATGTTTGTGGATATATATAGCTTTTTTGTTGTCCCTGTTATAACTGCAATGTATATAATAAATGGAAATGACTTGGTAGAAAAATGTCAAAATTTGAGGCCCCTTTGTTTCTTGAAGCATGAGCCAAATGTTCCTCCTAGTCTCCACTCTGCTATAGCCTGAATTTAAGTGAAATGAAAAACCAAAAAACTGCACATTATTATTGAGCTGGATTTTGTAGAAAACAAAGTGTGAGAATAAGAGTATGGGGGGGGGGTTCCCTCCCCCTACAGGTACAAAAGAGGGACAGACCAACAGCAGATTCATGTAAAGTGAACCTATAGGGAAGTGTGTGGAGATAGCAAAATACTTTGCTGTATAGTCACTGAAAAGTGGACTTGAGAGAGTGAAAAGTGAGTGAAGAATAGTAAGCTTGATTTTGCTCCCATTTATGCTGGTATACATAAGGATTCTTGTATTCACTATTCTTGTGAGATTAGTGTAAACCTTTGTAAATGAGACCAGACCCTAGTACAATGTGAAAGAGCAGGAATAAATGTAGAAAAAATATTGCTCAAAAAGTCAAGACGTGTCAGATATGTCCATAAATTATTCATTAAAAAGATCACACAGCATAACAGAAGTTGGTATTTTTCCCTTTTCTTTCTCACCTTATTAATGTACCTGGTTTGAACTGTTTGAAAGCCAGACTTCAAATTAGGCAGCTGTTTTTAACATGTGGGGAGAGAACAGGTGGTTCCAGAGAGATTCACATGAAAGCTCTCTGAGCTCCTTCTCTCCACCCATTGGAGAGTTTTCATTATAAAGGAAAATATATTAACACTTTGCATGACCACTGGAAAGATTGGTACGCAAGAACTTCTAAGTCACTGGATTCTTTTTCCCCAGGCAAACTTCAGACATAGGAATAGATTTAAAAATATATTTATTACAATTTCTGTATGTATATCATGTACACACATATATATACACATATGGTCCAATGTGGTGTGATCTCTGGGATCATAGATTTAAATATCTTCATATAGAAATTGGGAAAAAAACAAGAAACAAGCAGTGGTAATTCATAAAATTAAATGCAATCACATCAAGAAGAGCAACAGTTTTAAGGACAACCAATTCATGATGTGACTATTTTTGAGACTGCGTGGGAACAACCCTATGCGGGGGAAATTTCAGTGATAGATAAGCCCAGGTAATAAATTGCAAGAGAGATAGCTTTTTACTTCATCTATTGGAGGATCTGAAACTGCAATAATTAAATTAAAAATTAAAATTAAAATTAGGAATGAAGGCCTAAGCTACTTGACTTCAATGGAGTCCAGATTTCACTTTAGGATTAAGCTCTAAATCCACAGGTATAAAAAAATGCATAGAAAAGTCAATTACATTCTCTCTCTCTCTTCCCCCTTCCCTCATCCTTAGTTTCAGTTCTCTTCCTTCAACCCAGCATCCTTAATTTGTTCCTCTTGAGTATTTGTTAGTTTTCCTCTTGACTCATTCTATCGTGTGTCAATATACCTATCAATCTGATAAGCAGATTTTTTAGACTAGATTTGTGTTTAAACTTCAACTTCAGCTTTATTGCATGAGAGACATTTTAGTGTAAAGTTGGAAAAATGTAGAATCAAGAAGGATGGGGTTTCTTTTGTTTGTTTTTGTTTTTGAAAGAGATATAATTGTTGCTATTTAAAGGGAACAGTGATAGAGATGCAGCCGTGTTAGTCTGGTCTAGCTGAAACAAAAGACAGAACTATGTAGCACTTTAAAGACTAACAAGATGGTTTATTAGGTGATGAGCTTTCATGGGCCAGACCCACTTAATGTGATATCTTTCTCTAGCAGTGAAAACTACATTTAACCATGCCATATTGCACCCCCCCTCCCCCTTTTTATTTTTACCTACTTGGCATATTGTAAAGCATAGCATCTCTTTGGTTTGAAAATTTTCATGCCTCTTCTCCTTCTTCAAGTGAATATTTTTGGAACAAAAATCCCCTCAGCCATTTTGAAGTGATAAGGCCATGAAATATATATATTCTGACCACGATGTTTCTTTTGGGTATGTCTCAGTCAAAAACAGATGAACTTTGAAACATCAAACTTGTCATGTGTATAGTCTAGGTATTCTGAAACTTCATTGCACCGTGACTCTCTTCTGACAATAAAACTTACTACAAGAACCCAGGAGGCAGGACCAAAGCTCCCTGGGTTGCGGGGGAGGGAAGAGGGCAGCAGCTGAAGTATGAGCCCTGATGCACTGAGTGGGGGGGCCCCGAATCCAAAGCCTTAGCACCACAAGGTAAAGCCAAGGCCAGCTCCCCACTGCCCTGGGGCTCATGCCCTTGACATTCCTGACTCCAATGAAGTCTGATGTTAGCCTTGGTGACCCTCCTAAAACTGGATTATGACCCACTTTGAGGTCCCATCCCACAGCTTGAGAACCACTGGCCTAGTCTGTCACTAGAGAGAAATGCTTAGCTAAATCTGGGAGGAAGGGAATTATTAGAGTATAGTAAAGCAGTGGTCATTCTTCAGAATTTCTGCATTCTGAAACACTATTCCCATCTCCAAGCCAGAAAACTCTATGGGCTCATCTAGACTGGCAAGATTTTGTGCAAAAGCAGCTGCTTTTGCACAAAAACTTTTCAGCTGTCTACACTAGCTGCTTGAATTTGCGCAAGAGCACTGACGTTCTAATGTAAGAATTCAGTGCTTCTTGTGCAAATATTTTGATGCTCCCGCTCAGGGATAAGCCCTCTTGCGCAAGAATACTTGCGCAAGAGGGCCAGTGTAGACAGGCACCTTAATTTTTTGTGCAAGAAATCCTGATGGCTAAAATGGCACAAAAGCACATCTATACTGGGCCTGGATGCTTTTGTGCAAAAGCACTTTTTGCACAAAAGTATCCATGCTGTTGTACCGAATAAAAGCAAGCAGGATCTTATGAGGGGGATAAGGCAAAAAGCCACATTTATTGTAAAGATAATAATAAAAATAAAGAAAAGATAGAAGCAAACAATGTTGTTTAGCTACTTATTCCTATCACTACTTAACCCTTATACACTTTTTTATATATAAATATATATATATAACCATTCATTCATACATTCATTCAGATTCTGTGTATTTGTTATAGTTACCAGCCTGGAAGTTGCTTGTGACAGAATACTGGCCAGGTAGTCTGTACACAAGTGATGGTAGTGGGGAGCGAAGTCCTGATCAGATGCGCATCTGAAGCTCCTGGTAGGCTGGCAGCAGAACCTTGGACTCTGATTCCATAGTTTTTTAGTCCAGTTCTTATAGGAATTTCTTCCTATGCCAGTCTATGGAAATTGCTG